TATATTTGTACTACAACAAGTGACACGTACCCACGTGACTCACTACAACAGGAAATGTACACAGACTTATAAAACCAAAGGCAGAGGAAAAAATCATCACATCAGGCATAAAACTGGTAAGTGACCTTTTTATATCAACATAAATTTATTTAAATAACTTTTCAAGACCAACAGGTAGAGTTCAAACTGGCAGCCCAGACAGAAAACAGAAATCTTCGCACTCAAGTTGATAAAAAAAGGGGAATCCCTGCAGTGTTCTGGTCCTGATCTTACTTCTTCCAGTAGTATGTGCAAATTTTTGCATATCCAACTATGGGGGCATCGAGCTGAATTACACCTTGGGCAAGGCAACCACCTTCCAGTTTGACCTGTGCAGTGTCATAGCGTGTGGAGAACACCAAGCCAGCTGGAGTGGGTATGATCTTTATTTGTGTGTGACGCATTTAACCAAAAAAGATGTATGGATAAATTGCATGCGCTAGAGGCCTGGTGCCCAGCCTGGAGCTCAGTGATCACCTATACTGGCCCATTTTGGACCCCAGACTACTCAGCCACGTACGCACATAAGCTACGGGACAGACTATCCCATGTCTCCCTCCAAAGGGGGCAACTGATTGGAAAAATTAACTAGAGATGCTGTACAGGGTCTGGCTGAGCAATTAGGACCTACCTCTCTGATGGCCATACAAAACTGCATGGCACTGGACATGGTATTAGCCGAAAAGGGGAGAGCCTGTGCTATGATTGGAGAAAAATGTTGTACTTTCATCCCTAACAACACTGCCCCAGACAGATCAGTGACCAGAGCACTGGAGGGACTGAGAAGACTGAGTAAGACCATGCACAAACACTCAGGCATTGAGAACCCCTTAGAAGAATGGTTTTCAAACATGTTTGGTAAATGGAAAACATTAGTAATCTCTCTGCTAGTGTCTATGGCTAGATTTTTAGGGATCATGGTGGTCTGTGGCTGTTGCTGTGTGCCTTGCTGTCATTCACTGGTGGTCAGATTCATCACCTCTACAATCGAGAAAGGTGGCAGTGAGCGCCCTCCTGCTTACCAAATGTACAGCCAGGGACGAGCCATGGAATTATCCTTAGTGGCCATTGCATCACTACTGGAAGAGGCTGACTCTTCCCGCCACCTTTAAAGTTGCCTGTTTTGCTAAAATGCTACATTGTATGTTTACCAAGAACGATGAGGGAAAGTTTCTTTTCCTGTACAGGTGGGGTCTGGGTCAGAAATGCTCTGTCGGGCTGTATCTGTGTGCCTGTTTGTCTCAGGTTGGGTTTTAGGTTGTCCCCTCTCTTGGATCAGTTTTGGCCCCCCATTTGGTGTGTCGTGCTCCCCTCCGGTGGTGGGCCCCCCTGCCGCTGGTGCATTGGTGGCTCTCAGAAGCTGGGGCTGGGTGGTGGGGTGTGTGCGGGCCCACCCTGGTGGCTGCCTGCGGGGGCCTGGGTGCCCTGGCTCTGTCAGGCCTCTGTTGGGGGGTGGTATGACCTCGGGACTCTGGGCTTGGTGTCCATGGCCGGATCCACTCTGGAGGGGCGGGTTGCCGGCGGGGTCTGTTGACTCGTCGCTACAGCCTCCTGGGGTTTCTGATTTGTGGTTGCTGGGGATCGCCCGAGGCTTCCCTTTGCTTCTCTCTCTGGGGGGTGCAGATGTCCCTGTTGGGGGACTCCCAGAGTTCCAGGCATGGGGACCGCTGTGTGTCTGTGGTTCCGGTCTTCCCTGTGTTACCTTTGTGTCCTGGGGGGATGGGTTTATGGGTCCCCACATCCACTATTGAACATTTTTATGGAGAAACCTTATAGTGATAAGCATGCTCACACAGGTGTTTAGATTCAGGTGTTTAATCAGATACACACTCAGTTGGGTTATGGTGGCCATCAAATATATAATGTATTACCATGTACTGTATAAAATACTTTCTAATGGTGTTATAAGTATCATTATATAAGTTGTTTGTTGTTGTGGTTTCTCGGTTTTGTCTTTTTTTTTCCCCCCGCAGGTTTAGAGGCAGACTTCAATGATGTTGATTTGTGTTCTTTTTATCACTCTCTCTCTCCTCTATTCCTATCTCCTTTACATTTTAACTCTTCTCTCACATTTCTGCTTTATCTTCTTTGTTTTTCGTCCCCGTGTCCATTAAATCTGGAACAAACCCAAAGCAAATTCTAATAAAATTTAATTTATATATCAAGTGGAGAATTAAGGCCAGCCATAATGCTCTGCTTGTGAAAGTAGATCTGTTGGGCATCCCTTTGACACTCAAACAATAATTCTAAGTGTCACAATGGCGGACAGGACAAGGGAAAAAAAAAAGAAATGACCACCGTCACAGAGGTGTGAGGTGATGTCCTGCTTTCCTCCTTAAAATGAACAGATGCCTCAGGGGGGTTTCCAGGACATGCAGAGCTACACCTATTCAGGGATGGATAGTTAGGAGTAATGGTCTCTTTCAGAGACCACAAGGGAGAAAATGTAAAGACACTCTTATCTGCAGTACTGTATTGCTCGATGTATCACAACTGTATCTTGTCCTTTATCTGTATCTGCTTGGCTTTTGGTTCTGCTTGCCTTTTGGTATCAACAACTACAGAGTGAACTAAGTCAGAGAATGTATTTAAGTTTTTTGTGTACGGGACATGAACTAACAGGGAGCTGCTGGTGGGTATGTCCCACCTGATGACAAGATCACCAAGTAAACTGGAATGGCAGAAGAAAATAATAAAACAACTCCATAAAAGGACTTCCAGGAAATGAAGCCATCAGTTTGAACTAGTTTAGACAAAGAACTTAAGAATGTGTGACACATCTCTGTGTGGAGTGTTTGTGTTTAAATACAGGAGATGCTGAAGCTCCAGTCAGACGTGTCTTGGGTTTTTGCTGTGTCTCTGTTGGTTTGGGGTAAGAGCGTCTCCTTTCAACTGAAAGCTTTAATAAACGTTGGTAATACTTTTAACTTGAATCTCTCTGACTGATTATTGTCTTTTCTCCATGTATCTCTGAACCAATGAGAGGAACAGGCTGAAAAGTCTGAGTTGTTGTGTTAATTTTCCTCGACACATCCATCCATCTATTTTCTTCCAATTATCTGGGGTTGTGGGGATTGCAGATTAAGTAGGGAGTCTATTACCAATTTATTCAAACTGTTTGAAACAAGCTTCAAGTAGTAAATCTGCGCAAATAAACCCCCTTCCCCCAGTCATACTGAAATGCATGGCAATGCTAATTTGACACTTTCAACACTAGTGGTAAAACTGGATTTGATGGGCAATATACCTTCTTGGTGATGTCCATGCCTCTGTAAGTATTTATTTAGAAAAAGTTTATATTGCAATCTATGCTTTAGTTGGGTGAAACCTACAATTTGATGCCAGAAAACAGCTGCTTGTGAGTCAGGAATAGATTGGAATGGGACATGTTTATATTTTTGAAAACAGCATACCCTTTATAATATTTGCTGAGAAAATGTGAAAATGGACAAGGTTATAATTTGTTTAAAATATTTTTCCCACTGTGGGATGTACATTTCCATCATGTGTTGATTCTCTGACTGAGGACCTACTGACAATACCCTGGTTGAGAGAAGCAACAGTTATATAGAACTGGGTCAGCCTAGAACAGATTCAAACCCTTAGTACTTGGCAACTTTTAAAAGAGCACTTTGTCCTAACATTTGATGCAAAGCACAAGATTGTGTGATCTTGACAGGTGGAACTATTTTATGAAATGTTAGGTAAAGTCACACTTCTACAATACAGCTTAAGTATTCTAGTGCAGTTGGCAAAATGTAATTGCTTACTCTAGGAAAATAGATGATGTGGATAAGATGTGGTTTTGCTTATTGGAACAAAAATAATCCAAGATGATGTCAGTGAAGACTCATTTCTGTATTTAACTGTGTAAACAGAAAATGAACAGATTGTTGCAAGGCTGTTTTACACCTAATCTACAATTTTTCAACAGCTGCCTGTGGGTCAGGAGGAGATTGGAATGCAACATGTTTTATATGTTATTTAATGTAATTGTAGTGGACTAGGCCTGATGTCGAAACCTTGACCTTAGGCACCTTGTGGGACAGAAACTGTCATTTCATTGATTTGAATCCAGAAATACAGGTTGACCCATCCTGAGACTTTCTTTCTTGAAAATTCAAGTGAAAGAACACTCTCTTTTCTATTATCA